AGGAAGATTTAAGATTTCGGATGGAGAAAAACCTACGGACTAAACCCTAGATCATTCCAATGTTCGATGGCTGGGGTAATAAATTTAGTAGAAGAGGTGGAACAGTTTTTTGAACAAACTTAAGTTTCAAAGAAGTTAACATATATTGGGACCAGGAGTTGGTACAATAGTTACATCGCTGGACTCTCATGTAGTTGACCATAGTTCAAGTAACCAGACCCAGCAGCTTAAAACTGACACTGGACACATGTGTGCACATGCTTAAAATCCAAGGGGAGAATGGAGAAGGGATTGTGGCATGGCCATCCCCCACAAGGGGGAGATTTCTTGCTGTCTCTCCATCTCTTCAGTGAGCACATGTGCCCTATGGCAAAAGTCTCTCTTTAAAAAAAAAAGAGGTGAACATATATTAAATAGTAAGAATCATGTACTTACCACATCAAGACCTAGCTCCTTATAAGTATGCCTATTTCTTATTTATTTATTTATTTATTTATTTATTTATTTATTTTTTGGAGAGGTTTTCACTATAGGGCGTGTGCACTCGCCAGACAGACAGAGAGAGAGAGATAGAAAGCGAGAAATCACCCCCCGGGGGGATGGTCACACCGCAATCCCTTCTCCTCCATTCTCGTCTCGGGATCTTGGGCACACACGCACATGCACCTGGGATGAGTTTTAAGCCACCGGGTCCGGGACACGAACCGCGGTCGACTACGTGGGAGTCCAGCGACATAGCCATTATGCTAACTGCTGGTTCCCTAAAGCTTATTTATTTATTCTGAAAGAGAAAGAGAAAGGGACAAAGAGAGATGTATCCTCCAACAGGGTCCCTATGCCATGATCTGGATCACAGGCATGCATGCATGTACCAGGTTTGCTCAGGAAGGTGCTAGGAAGCAAATCCAAGATCTTTCCCATGTGGGAAAGTTGTATTTCCACTGTGCCACTGCCTGGCCCTAATTCTGAGCATGTCTTTTAAAAGATTTTGGCCTTTTTTCTTTATTGATGATAGAGCACATGTGCATGCATGTAAGACTGAGAGAGATGAGCACCTTCCACAGGTTCTGTTCACAACACAGTCCCCCTTCTTCCAATCATGTAGCCCGTAGGATCTCAGGCACTTGTACATCTGCCTGGTGTGTTTTCTGGCTGACCTAGCCAGTGACTCAAACTGCATTTCCCAAGTGGTATCTGGCTTCTCTTTCTTTTGTTTTTTGTTTTTGTTTTTGGATAGAATAGGAGAGAACATTTTCCAGTTTATTTTATGAGGTCAGTATTATCCTATTACCGATGCCGGGGGGGGGAAAAACATTAGAGAAAAACTGGAAACTTGTATTGAACATAGAAGGGAAAATCTATAAAAAAAAAATCTTATCACATTGAATTCAGCAATATATCGAAAAGATAGTAATCGTGGTGAAGAGTTCATCCTGGGAATGGAAGTCTGGTTCCACATTTGCAAAATCAAAATCAATCAATGTAATTCACCATCTTACCTGACTAAAGAACATGCATCACCACTATACCACAGAACCAGTCCCGATTCCGTTGTTTCATTTGTTCTGTCTTTCTGAACATTTTAAAACACATTTAAGCAGAAATGGCACTTTTTTATATTACATAGTGGCTTCCTCACACTATATAATCTTCCCTGTCCCCCAAGTACTACATGAGTAGCACTATGCTATGCCTTTCCCCTCAAGTTCATAATCCAGTAACCACCTTACACCTATAAAGCTAAGGATGACTTGAAGCCAGAAGCCAACTCTGGCATTTTTTCTTCATTTGAGGTCTTCACTTCCTCACCACACAGTAACTCTCTCCCACCTCTAACTGAGCTTTCCAAATGCCTGAAAGGCTCCCAGGTACCTGACAGTCCAAACGCCCTCTCCTCCTAGTGTAATCTCTATCCTACCAACAAAAAGCACAGCATCTTTGGAGGGCTTTATAGCCCAATGGCTAAGGGAACTGGATCCCACACTGCCAACAGCGGTTGGATTCTAGCCCTGGTGTCTTTAAAGATACACCAGAGCCTGTGTGTCCAAAATCTTGAGGGGTGGAGAAATGGAGGAAAAAGGATTGCGGTGTGACCATACTCCATTGTGGAGTCTCTCTTTTTCTTTCTCCCTCTCTCTCTCTCTCTCTCCCTCTCCCTCCACCATGCATGCACCCTCTGGGAAAAAAAAGTATCTTTATATTTCCATTTCCACATTTAAACTTTAGAATTTTCCATACAAAGGCCTATACGTTTTTTGCTATAGTAAATTTATTTATTTATTTTAAATTTTTTATTATTTATACATTTAATCACTACACATCATTTAGATTGTAAATAGACTTTACCCAGCATGATATACGCTTCAGTCCAGCCCAGTTGAGAATACTATACACGTCTTTGTCAACAGATAATAAACCATATCTGTGGCCCACAAATGTCTATACTTTCTAACTAGGTCAAAGTTGTCATCAGAATTCAATCTCAAAGCAAAAGTCAGCAG